CTGACCAGATTTGGTCAGCCGGACCAGGCCTTCTCTTTCGTCTGGTCCGAGCTTGGCTCAGCGCTGGGGCGGACTTGTGGCACTCTCCTGGTCCGCCGGACCGTAGGTGGTCAGGGGCGGACCAGATGAACTGTATTCTCCGATTCGCGCCGAATTTGTGCATTATGTCCGGGGTTCCTGCCAAAGTCGAGAAATAGACCCAAAACCCTAGAATGGCTCTAAAAATGCCTAAGAATGTGTGGAAACCGTTTAGAAAACAGGGGCATACTAATGTAAAATCCAGATAAAATCCGAGCCATCAACCTCCCCATCGATTTTTCTGTGAGTCGCGTCCCGACGTTGTATCAAACCAATCACATCTGAATATGATTGTTTTCAACCCGACTAATCCTGGATACTGGAGTTGGAAAATCTGCCGAAGAACCCCAAAGAAATCAGGATCTTCCGATGACTCGCTTTTTATACAAACTCCGTAATTGAACGTGGATTTATGTTTTCCATGATCGTAAGTGTGAAAGGTGTATCCTCGGATGAACATTATCGGCCAGCAAATGACTTTTCTTCCAGGTCCATGTGATATATCTCTGATCCAGGTGTATCCTCGGATGAACATTATCGGCCAGCAAATGACTTTTCTTCCAGGTCCATGTGATATATCTCTGATCCATGCCGGAATTCTATCACTGCATGAAGTTAGCAAATATATAAATATGTAATTAATTAATTTCTAATCACATCTGAGATTAAAAAATGTGTACCTTTCGTATGACTTAAGTTTTTCACAATTCAACAGTATATATGTGGCGATGTGATTGTACTCTTGTACAGTTAACCAATATTCTTCAGATTTGCCTCTGAGGCGTCCAGTAGGCTGAAAACTTTCGGGAATAAGTCCGAAACATGAATCATATTGGTAGAGATAACTTCTATCGTCTTCGTTGATAGCCCTCCTTTTCTTCGTCTGAATATGAGATTCAAAATAGAAAGAACTGAATCTCCTCTAACAAATACTGTTTGACGATAGATCCTTCCACTGCTGCTTTGTTTTTTGCCTTCTTCTTCAGATGGAAAAAAAATCGCTTAAATGGATACATCCATCTAAACTGTACTGGACCACCGTATATCGCCTCATCTGGTAAATGAATATGTAAATGTTCCATCACATCAAAAAATGAAGGTGGAAATACCTTTTCCAATGCGCAAAGTATCTCACGAATGTTGCCTTTCAAAACCTCTAGGTTACTTCTTCTCAGAGATCTTGCACATATATCTCGAAAGAATGCGCTGATACCGCATAACACTCCGTGGACACTGGGTTTCAATAGCTCCGCAAATGCAATAGGAATGAGTCTTTGCATGAATACATGGCAATCATGACTCTTCATTCCCATAAGCTTTAATGAATCAGTATCAACATATCGCGCCAATTTGGATGCATATCCATCAGGGAATTTAACCTCTTCTTTTAACCATTTAAACAAGACCGTTTTACCTGGTCTTGTGAGTCTGAATATCGGCACAGGTGTGTGACCATCACGTGTCAACTCCAACTCTTTTCTCTTGCATATATCTTTCAAGTCCTTCCTCGAGTTGATGTTATCTTTACTTCTCCCTGGCACATTCAGAACGGTGTTGATGCTGTTATCAAAAAAGTTTTTCTCTATATGCATAACATCCAGATTGTGTCGAAGCGTTAGCGAACTCCAGTAAGGCAAATCCCAAAAAATACTACGCTTATACCAGTTATGCCAATCGCCAAATCCTTTGCACTTCTTATGCCCAAAATTTCCTCCACATTGCACAGAAGCTTCCAAATCATCCAAATATCCACTATTTATTCGCTCAGAATAAATTTGCTCTCCGGTTTGCATAACAGGACCTTCCTCAGTAACGATTTTACCTTTGGTAAAAAGCGTACGATTTTGTCTGAACGGATGATTCCTTGGAAGAAATCTGCGATGACAGTCAAACCAGCACGACTTTCTCCCATGTCTCAACTAAAACGCTTCTGTTTCCTCCATGCAAAACGGACATGCAAGTCTTCCATGTGTGCTCCATCCCGATAGCATGCCATACGCCGGAAAATCACTGATCGTCCAAAGAAGAACCACTCTCAGTGTAAAAATTTTGTTTCACACTTACTCGTAAGCAGGGACTCCAATGTCCCACAAATCCTTCAACTCCTTAATGAGCGGGTGTAAATACACATCAAAACTCTTCTTCGGATGTTCTGGCCCAGGAATCAACAATGTCAAAAACATAAATTCTCTTTTCATACACATCTCAGGTGGTAAGTTGTACGGAGAAAGTATAACGGGCCATAATGAATACTGCATGCCAGACTGTCCGTACGGACTAAATCCATCAGTACACAAACAAAGATACACATTCCTAGGCTCAGCAGCGAATTGAGGAAATACCATGTTGAAGTTTTTCCACGCCAAAGCATCTGATGGATGTTGCATTTCTCCATCAACGGTAGAATGCGAGGCATGCCATCTTATATGCGAAGCCGTTTGTTGTGATTCATACAAACGCTTCAATCTGTACGATACCGACATATAGAACATCTTTTTATACAGAGTCTGTCTCCATACATTCTTACTCGGACGATATTTGTTAGTCCCACAGAATTTACACCTAACCAATTCTTTTTCTTCACCCCAGTACAACATGCAACCATTTTTGCAAACATCAATCTTTTCATAAGGCATTCCCAAATTCTTCAACATAGCCTTCGTATCATAATACGATTCTGGAGCTTCGTTATTTTCAGGTAAATATTCACGCAATGTTTGACAAAATGAATCCATGCAACTTTCGGTGACATTGTAATCCGTTTTCATACTCATCAATCTTGATGCAAGAGATAAACGTGACTGACATTCTTTACATCCTTCATAGATAGGATGATTTGCCATATCCAACATGTCGAAAAACCGTTTTGTTTCGACGTTTGGCTCATCCTGATCTTGTGATGAGTTTTGCTCAACCATTGCCACAGGAAAAACATCTGTCACCATTTCAACATAATGATTTCTTATATCTTCATCTACATCATACCTCTGCTCGGCCGAGACATGTTGTCCCGTTGTGATTGTCCGAACTTCTTCTCCATGAAATCGCCAAATATAATAATCTTCGACAAATCCCCTTCGAAATAGATGTTCACAAACATCTTCTGGACTGCGATATTTAAAATTGCGATAACTTGTACATGGACATAGCATTTTTCCACGTTCTTGACACAAACATCTTCTGGACTGCGATATTTAAAATTGCGATAACTTGTACATGGACATAGCATTTTTCCACGTTCTTGACACAACGGCTGCATAAAAGCAAAATTCATAAACTGTTCCAAACCGTTAATGAATTCTTGCGTTACCTCTTTTGTAATCGAATAAACTCTTTCGTATATCCACTGCCGGGACGAACGAATATTCGGATTTGTTGAAGATGCCATTTTTAGGAGAATTTTTAGTGTAAGAATAGTAGAAGAATGATTTAGAGAGTGGTTTGGGCGAAATATGGCCGGATGGTTTAAATAGACAAACATTCCAACGGATGTCCGTTGGAAATCCGTTAAAAATTTAGTTACCGTTACACTTTCCAACGGATATCCGTTGGAATTATTGCCGCGTTTCATAACGTTCGGATAATTTCAACGGGTTGCCGTTGGAATTTGTCGAACGTTATTGCCAACGGACATCCGTTGGAATATGCGTGGAAAATTTCCAACTCAAATATCCATTGATATGCTGTTGGAAATTTCCAACGGATTTCTAACGGACGTATCCGTTAGAGTCCGTTGGAAATCCGTTAGAATTGCGTTGGAATTTGTCCAACGGTATACCGTTGAAAATCCGTTGGAAAATATTCCAACGGATTAATCCGTTGGAATTTTGCATTTTTTTTGTAGTGAAATTGGTTTGGCTCGCTTCCAGTGATAGCCAGAGGGTTCACCTCGATTCCTACATCCTTACTATGAGGAGGGTATAAAGGGCTTCCACTTCAAACCCATCCCACTAAGACAAAGTTTGCTTCCCCAATTTACAGGAAACGTTACGTCCGATTTTGTTTAACTAATTTTTTTTCTACAAAAAATAATATTCTAATTTTTTTTCCACAAAACACTTTTAAAAAAAGATATTGGGTTTTCTCTTATGGACTTTTAGACTAATCTCTTTAAATTTGGTCAAAACAAAACTTTTCAATTTGTGCTTACTATTTTGGGCTTTTAAATTAGTCTCATTGAATTGAATCAAAACAAAACTTTTCAATTTGGACTTAATCTTTTGGGCTTTTGAATTAACCTCTTTGAATTTAATTTGGGTTTCAATATGGCTAAACTCTTTAAATTTAATTTGGGCTTCAATATGGGCTAAACTCTTTGAATTTAATTGGGCTAATATTCAATATTAAATTTAGGTCTTAAATTCAATTGGACTCAGACTTATTAATATTTGGACAAGAAAACAGTTATTTGCTTTTTTTTAACACTTTTTTTTTAAAACCTAGTTATTTTTTAGATCCAAATTCATGTGAAGTTTTATACCGAAACTGAAAAAGATTTAGGCACTTACCCGAGAAGTTTGTCTCGTGTTAACCATGATTCGAACTTAAGATTGTTGGGGACGACGGTAATACTCCGGCAATTCGAACGATTCCAGATAAATACCTGAAATAAAAAATTATTTTGTCGAAATCTATGAAACATAGTTTCCTTAAGTTCGATTTTTGTGCCACCTCTGAAGTTTCGAGGCTATTGGAGCACAGTGAACTCACAGGATATAATGACCGTGTATTCGAAAGAAACTATCCAAATACCAAGCGAACTCTGAGAGATATATGAACAAATATGTGAATGCTCTTTTTTTTTCTAGAATGCTTGTTTTTTTTCTGTGTAGAATAAACTAACCAAATACTCCTATTTATAGTAAAGGGGAAAATCTCAAAATAAAATCAATTTGAATTTCAAATTAGATTTTATTTTGATATTATCTCGATCATATTTGATAGATTTTCTGCAGATTTAAATCCGATTTGAATTTCAAAATCAATCAAGAATATTCTCTCAATATTCTGCAGATTTTTATTAAATTTTCTAAAACTTTCTACGGACCGGACTTCTCTCGGACTAGACCCGTTTTGATTCTATCAAATAAACCCAAATCCAACAATCTTCACCGCACAACACGGTTGCTTGCCGAATGTTCTCAGGTACCAAGCTCGAAACCCGATTCTTTTTCCAGTTGTAGCAATACTGTCGCGGATTTAACCGAGGATTTTGACAATGGTATGTATGTGAATTATGGGTATGACGGTCTGGATCGAACTTGTAATTATCGTTGATGAGATTTGTAGCTTTTCATGGTCGGATTCTGATGATCTCGTAGGGGACGTTAATTCGGGTGTGTTATTTTTTTGTTTTGTACCCTCCCCTCAAAAGAGATTCACACGAACTTCTCTCTTGCTTTGAATGTACAAACAAACACAAAAGACGTTTCTGAATTTCACTTCATTATATAAAAAAGATACAAACACAGAACACCAAACAGACTTATAAATACAGACACGTAACTACTATATTGCAGTTTTTTTTACAGTTTCACAAACTTTACATATAGTCATGGGGTCTGGATGGGTCGGTACGGTCGTGTATGTTCCCCCCCTCATACACGTTCGTGCCGACATGGGATGGTCCACGGGGTGACTGTCCCGCATATAACTTAATCTAAGTTATTATAGAAGAACAACAACTCCTCTTCTGCATCAGTAACTTAACGAAACATTGAACCATTATCTAACACTCCTCCTTGGTTTAAGGTTTTGAACCTTTTCCATAAGTCAGTCAACGTGTATCCCCATAAAGAGTTCTTCAACTTCATTTGCTTCAGCATTATGCACTTGTATATCTTTAACGTTCTTTTCTTTGTAAATCTTCTCAACGTGCCCCATTTTATTGCATTTCCTACATTTGACATCGGGTCTCTTCCAACATTTCCAATGAGATGTCTACTTTTGTTTCAATGTTTGCTAGGTTCTCCAGATTTTTCCTTCTCTGCATTGTTTATTTTTTCTTTTGCTGTCAAAGCACCTTCCACAAACTCTTTTTTCATAGGCTCCTCCTGTCTCATAAGCATTCTTTGCTCTTGTGCTTGGAGAGCACTAATAAGTTCAGGAAGCATCAGATCTGAAACTTTTTTGTTGTTCTCAAGCGAAGCCAATGTTGCCTCGAATCTTTCCGGTATTGAAACCATAATCTTCTACACTAATTTCTGATCTTCCACATCGGTGCCCAAAATCCTGATTTGATCCACAATACTGATCAAACGGTCTGAATATTCCTTCACCGTCTCATTGGGTTTCATCCGCTTCATCTCAAATTCCCAAAACAGGTTCATCACTTTCATATATCGAATCTTCTTATCTCCTTCATATTCTTTCTTCAAATGATCTCACATCTCTTTTGTTGTCTCGAACTTCATTATCTTCGTAAAGACAGAAGTCGAAACTGCAGAAATAATGCAGGACATGACTTTTGCTTTTTTGGTAACCCTTTCTCGATAGAGTCTGATCTGATTCAGAGTTGGATTTGTTCCCAAAGGAGGAACCACATAATCATCTTCAACAGCCTCCCAGAGATCTACTCCTCTCAGAAATATCTTCAGCTTGACAGCCCACATTTGGTAGTTTCGCCATTAAACACCGGAGGAGTAATAGAAGGGAATGTTGAAGAAACCATACTCTCACCATTTGTCAGATCCATTAAAAAACACTCACAGATCCCTTTAAATCAATAAAGCTCAGATACCAATGTTATTTTTTTGTTTTGTACCCTCCTCTCAAAAGAGATTCACACGAACTTCTCTCTTGCTTTGAATGTATAAACAAACACAAAAGACGTTTCTGAATTTCACTTCATTATATAAAAAAGATACAAACACAGAACACCAAACAGACTTATAAATACAAATACGTAACTATTATATTGCAGTTTTTTTTTACAGTTTCACAAATTTTACATATAGTAACTGACATATAACTTAATCTAAATTATTACAGAAGGACAGCAACTCCTCTTCTGCATCAGTAACTTAACGAAACATTGAACCATTATCTAACAGGATGCCCCGAAATTTTGTCTTTTGAGTAAGCAACTCTGCTGTCTTTTTTTTTTCAGTTCATTGATTAAAAAAAAAGGTATCCAGTTTCAGTATCTTTCGCCTATTCTTGGACATGAACGTGAATAAACACAGTTTGATAGACAACAGAGTTATGTTCTTGGATCTGTAGTGATTACATGAAAATCTGGTACTGGGTGTATACCATTTTTGTAAGTGGTCAATTTGATAATAATCGATTTGAATGGAATAAAATATAACAACAAAAAAGTTAAAAAGGATTTAGAAAACTGAATACGAACAAAAAAAAAATAGTGGAGAAAACAATTCTTGAGTATTTTTGTCAATCAAATTTGAAACTCACGCGAATGGCCCACCATATATATATATATATATAGAGTTGTTCACCTCTGAAAATAAAAAGATTAAAAAAATAAAAATCCGAAAAAATATCTAAATTTATCAATTTTTATAAATTAAAATCTAAACTTTATTTTTTTATCAAGTAAAATTTAATTTTATTTTTTAATCAAAAATAAATTCAAATTTTATAATTATTGTCATTTTAAAATTTAAATATTGATATATATCTTATGTGTCAAAGTAAACATATTAACCGATGTTATTCATATATTCTGATATTGTTATGTAATGTCATTTATATATTTAAAAATGATAACGATTATAAAGTTCAGATTCATATTTGATAAAAAAAATAAAATTGAAGTTTTATTTGATAAAATTAGTTTTTATATTATAAAAATTGACAAATTCATATATATATATTGGATTTTCCCAAAAAAAAATAATGAAGCGGACATTTATCCTTTGTTTTTCTGTATGTGTGGCTCTCTGATAAGAAGATGCATACCCAGCACAAAAAGACACACACGTATATATATTTATATATTTCTCTTATATTCTCCCTTTGCATCCACACATATATATATATATTTCTTATATATATATATATATGGACAAGGGATATACAAATTAAAGGGTCACTTTTGAATCCGAGGATTCATTAATTTCCCAATAAAAGGAATCTGGGTTTTGCTGCAACGTCATGAGCTTCGAAGAGGAATGGATGCTTACACGGCTATTATCGTGATCCTCTCTGCTTCTGTCCTCGCCATCAATATCGTATCGTGCTGTTTCACTTGCTTCTCCATTAATGGCGGCTCCGTAGCAGAAGGGCATCGGAATCAGAGTGACATCGAGAGGAATCTTTTGGATCCTGAAGAGAAGGTGGTGCCCGCGGCCGTGGATGGCGGTGAGGATTGTGGCCATGAGATTTGTGGGTGTTGATCGATCACTTTCTGGGTTTCAATTTCGTGTGGTGTTCTCTGAGTCTCTCTTGAAGAAAAAGCCGTGGATAGTTTGGGTTAGATTGATCGAATGAAAAGATGATGGGATAAAAAAGGAATAAAGGAAAACAAAGGGGGTACTCAGGGAAAGTTAAAGCTTAACAACGAAGTCGATGTAACACTTTTTTTTTTAATTATAATAATTTCCCGAAGCGTTCATTTCAATAAAAAAATCATCGAAAGTAAACAATATTATATATATATATATATATAATATTCCATAAAATTTCCACCAAAGTTTCGGATTATAGAGCAAAGAGGGAAAGGACATTTCAAATCATAATTCTATACATACATATATATATGCATGGCTTGAGTTCAATTGCATAATGAAATTAATTCCAAGCGTTAACTTGCGACACAAGAAAAGGGCAGCGAAAGACTTTGTCCGACCAAAGTTCAATTAAAACAAAAAAAGGCTTGATGTCTCATATATGAAATCTATCTAATATAATGTGTATATATATATATAAAGTTATCTTTCTCTGTAATTAATAAAATTGTAATTGTCACCACTTGAACAAATTTTCACATTTAAGCAAAATATCACATGCAACTTCACACACTCCATTAATACTCTTTATCACATTTTTCTAAAGGTATATTTAAAAATATTATCAAGACATACGAATAATATCTTAGAATATTATATGATTTTATATTTTAGATATTTATATTAATTGTATTTTCTATCCATAAATCTAATAATGTTATATATTAAATAATGAGATCCTCTACACATTTTTCTACTATTAGACGCTACTTTCCAAAGTACTCAAGAGTTCAGTTACATGTAACCAAACAGATTCAGATGAAGAAAAGTTTTATTTATTTTATTTTTAAAATTTGATCTGTTCGAGCAGCTTGACAACCTCGACCATGGTGGGTCTCATGGACGGGTCCGGTTCAAGACACATCATCGCTATACCGAACACATTTTGCATCTCTTGAACCGGAGATCCTCTTAACCGGTTATCTATCACCAACTCTTCTCTTCCATCTCTAACCACTCCTTTCACCTGTTCATCATTTTACAACATATATATAAAACCCTAGTACACATATAGCCAAATCTTGAACTTTAAGGTCATAAGAAACTAACCCAAGTGACAAGCTTGGTTCCCTCCTCAAAGAACTGATCATCTGTCGGTTTTCTACCGGTCACCAGCTCAAGAAGAACGACCCCGAAGCTGTAAACGTCGCCTTTCATAGTCGCTTTCCCCGTATCAAAATACTCTGTCAAAAAACAACACAAGAATCAACCAAACTTCTTTGAATGATTTCTAGTTAGTTTCTTGCAAAACCCTAATGCTAGTTTAGAGTTTTTTGTTATTATTTCTCGGGTCGAATAATCACAAACCGGGAGCTAAGTATCCGAAGGTTCCGGCAACAAACGTCGAGACGTGTGTCTTGTCGGGCTGTATCAATGTGGCTAAACCGAAATCAGAAACCCTAGCTTCCATGTTCTGATCGAGAAGTATGTTGCTCGACTTTATGTCTCTGTGAATGATGTGCGGAATACAATCATGGTGAAGGTATGATATCCCTCTCGCTGCTCCCACCGCTATTTTGTACCTCGACGCCCAATTCAGAACGTTTTCCTCTCTCGATCTTCCTGCATCAGTATACGTAACGTATATGTGTGTATACACGTACCATGTAGAAAGCAAAAAACATGCATATACGCGGTTTTGCACTTGTTTCGCCTTTATACACGTATATGTATGTATATATACGCGTACCGTGCAGAAAAGAATCCAAGCTTCCATTAGGCATGAGTTCATAGATGAGGAGATTGTAATGTGGGCAAGTGTAGTATCCGTGGAGATTGACGATGTTTCTGTGTTTTATATCGGCCATTGCCTCCAACTCTCTCTCGAACCCTCTGTCTCTTTCAGAAGTTCCTCGGTTCAGCCTCTTCACAGCAAACACTGTCGAATGATCGATGGCCAATCTGTATACAGTTCCAAATCCTCCGGAGCCAAGGATGTCTTTGTTTGTCAGCTTCAACGTCTTCTTCAAAAACATGTCGGATGGAAAAGACTGAACCAACGGAGATCTAAACATCACCATTTTCCCTCCTCCTCTAACTGCAAACTCACCGAAAACTCGGAAATACGTCATTGTATAAAGCAGAATCCGAAGATCTAATGTTTGGGAAACCCTTTGTGAAGAAAACGTACCTGAAAACCCATCTGCATGAACGGTATGCTTTCTCTTCCATCTCTTGTAGATGAGAATCGCAATGGCGATTTTCCCAACCACGAAAGCAACCACAGAGATTGTTATGTACAACGTTTTCTCCTTCGCATCCGCCATTGTTACGCTGCACAAACTCTTCTCGAAAGCTCCTGTTCCTTAATCGCGCAAGAGACGCGTCAAAGACACTCAGTCTCAGAGGTTTTGGTTTTTATCCTATTTCCCAGTGTCTGAATCTACAAATCTCCAGTCATGAAAAAAAAAAAGCTGATGTGAAAATGGGAATTAGGTGCGTGCTTTGTGTCAGAGTTTCTTCACCACAAATGGAATCATACTTTTGCAGCCAATCTCCTTATCTCTGGTTTCTGTCTTTCCACTTTTGGTTAGGACATTAAATCTAAAGTGAAGTTATTAAACATTTGATATCGGGGGAGAGTATCTGCCTTGAACTCGTGAACTGCGTATCTGGCAGCAAATCAACTGATGACACGTGTCGAGTTTTTCGTCCGCATCCACCGTGGTTTACGTAACACACATCGTTACATTGACGATCTGGGTATTTTTTTTTTGTGTGTATAATATGATATCCGGATCTCCGACGTGACAAGCTTAGGTGGGATTGTGTTGTCGAGCCTTTCAATTATTCGTTGATATATTGCGGTCTTAAAGAGAAAGAAAAAAACAGTGTGTGAAAGGGGAGAAGTTCTTGATTCATCTTCTGTCTTTTTTACAGACAAGTAGAAGCTGGACGATATGGAAACTCACCAGTTTGTCGTTGACCTTCCTCTGATCAAACCCCATAATTATTGATAATAATACCAATTGCATGGGATTCTTTTTTCTCTAACATTTTCATTTCGAATTTTGGATTTAATAGAAAGATTTTGGAGAGAAAATTCTCTGGTTCTCTATAGATATGTAATTGGTATTCGTTGAACTTCCGAATTATGAAAAAAAAAAATCAAAATTTTCTTACAGCCCTAGAGTCTAAAAACCTGCTTTTGAGCTGGAAAGTTCTGCCTTCACACTCAGAGGTGAAAAAAGAGAGAGAGGAGAAAATTCCCCCCGAGTTCAAATTTCTCTGCATTAAAAGCCGACCAGGATGACGCCGGTTCAGGCAGATTCACATATCGGAATTTACAATTTCCTAAACTGTAGAGATTTGGGCCTTTTGGACAAGTGCTATGAGTGAACTTGCTGATACGTTTCAAATCTTGAGATAGAAGAAACAAACCCCTGATTCATGGATGTACAAAGCTATATTGTAGCTTCAATGGCTTCTTATGATCCTGCATAACAGATTAAAAGAACTTTTCCGGGTCAATCTCTGTTTCCTGAAATAATATCTTCTATCCAAGAGAATGAACTTCTGACCTTCCAAGCCGGGAGAGCTCGGGTTCTGCCAACAGCATGTCCTGTAGCGGTTTCGCATCCATGTAGCTTTCTCTAGGACTAACCAGCAACAGAACAATAGGCAGGAGAAAGGACATAAGCTATGTTGGTCTTATGCATGAGAAGTGATCAGAGAGAGAGAGAGAGAGAGAGATACTTGGAAATGTGATCGAGGGTGAGAAGGCGATGGCGAATAGAGAAATCATGGCCAACATAAGTCACAACCAAGCTACCGGCATCAGGGTGAGGCCAGCTTCTTAAAGTAGGGAAGCGGAGAATGAAAGTGCCCGGTTCTTGACCTTGAAGAGAAATTTCAGCATCTTCCTTAGTGATGAAGCCTTCTATCCATTTGGGTGACACAGAACGCCACATCCCATTTATCAATCCCCTGGAAATGGATTTTGCAACCGGAAACAACCAACACCACATCTTCTCAAAATTCTCCTGCGTCATGTACTCATAGCATCCCGATATTCTTCTTAGAAGCTCAAAATCCTGATACAGTTTTTTGTGAGATGCCATGTCAAACCCGCAGATTTTACCACAGGTGTATATATATAGATATGTACGCAGGATGAAGTTACTTAAATATATATGTGTGTGTGTGTGTGTGTGTGTGTACTTATACCTGTTGTGTGAGAGATCTACTGCTACATTGGGCAATCCTCATGAAATGTTCTTCAATCTCACAAACTGCACTATGCCAATGAACATGTTGATTGTTCCGAGAGATCAGCATCCACGCATTTGTTCCTTCAGCTATCAGTTTTCTCGCCATTTTGATTTGATTGCTGAAAGTTGAAAAAAAAAGACGTTTATTTACAAAATATCAAACCAGAACTTTTCCTCAGATGCATGCAGCAGATGTAAGCAAGTTAACTACCCATGGTGGGAACATCCAGAATACAGAGAAACTTGGTCTGCAAACTCGGAAACTTCCTCGTCTGATGAATTGTTCGTGATTTCCTTCAGAAGGAGAGACCTCTCCGCCAAGTTTCCAAGGCAGTATCTGAAAATGGTTGAGTCTGAAATCGTGTATCTCCTGAAAACTGAATCTCTCATTTCTGCGCTGTCTGAATCAGTTGAAGAGTTCTCTTCTTCATTGTTCTGAGGTCTCCACTCCATACTCATGCCATTTCCATTCTCAAACTAATCATAGAAACAGCAAGTTAACATAAATATGCAGAAGAAAAGCTATAAATTAAACAAACTCACTTTTTCAACCCCTTAAGACATGATCCAGAGAATGGTCCTTGTTCCCACACCGTCATGGGTCTTAAGACATGATCCAGAGAATCAAGGATGCTGTTTCGATAACAGAAGGTTTTGACACAGAAGGAAAAGGAAAAAAAAAGTTGAATACCTGTCTTGAGGCCTGGGTCAGAGAGTTGTGTTGTTGAACGGGTTCCTCCCTATCAGAAATCCTTTCTTCTCCCAACCTGACCCTCTTCACCGAGGAAGCATCATAATGAAGATCGGGTGATGTGTTACTTGACACAAGTGTAGGGACTCCACCTACTGGATGATCAACGTGGTTCACCCTTTTAGGCATGGTATCACGGCTCCTCGAAATGCAACGAATTGGGTTGGTAACAGCTTCGAGGAAAGGATAACCCTTAACATTCGGTATTTCAAATTTGATGCAGAACAACCTGTTGTCACTCTTGGATGAAAGCTGGAAAACGCAAGGATGAAAATCTTAAGAGGAATCCTTGTTATAACTGGAATGAGCAACTCAGAAAGTGAACAGAATGAGAACGAGTCTTAGTCAAATCTTATCATATCATCACCTGAGATATCTTGAGCTTAAAGGTGGCACGTCCATTCAATAATTTAATAGGTCTATCACCAGCTGAAAACTCGACTCCTTCATGACTTGCCAAAAGGGGAGCCTCTGTCTCATTCGTCTGCTCCACAGGCGTCCCACTATCGACATACAAGAGTGAAGCCACGACCTGCATATCAACCAATTCACAATACCCTGAATTTCAGAATGCAAAAAAAAAAATGTAGGAAGTTAGTAGATCTATGTGATCAGAAAGTCTAAAAGAGTTTGAACCTGCACATCCTTGCGAGCATGATGTCCAACAGCATTGGATAAAATAACATCCAAGGAAAAAATCCTCCGGCAAGATGCCTATAAAACAAGGACATATTTTTATTCTGTGATCAGTTTAGCTACAGAAAGAGGCATCAAGCAAATTATTGCAAACATCATTTATCATACTCGAAGAATATATTCTCCATTAGTGACTGATTGGAAAAGAGTCGTCAGGATTTCACATAGGAAAACTTTTCAAGGTTAATTGAGATTGCTGTTACGAGATTTAGAAACTCATACCTTTCCACCAACAATACTCCAAACACCATCATCATCTAATTCAATCCCAGAGGTGGATGGCTTATCAACCGACAACCATAGAGGTGGGTCCTGGCGAAGCGGATGAAAGAAAATGAAATGGCAGGTTAGGACAGGAGGGTTGACAAGGAAGAAGAACAGCAAAATTAGCCACAAACCTTCACATAGTGACACGTTACAGGGACACTGGCAGGTAAAACTTCTGCACATTGGATGAAACCCTGCACGCTATAACCATCTCCACCAACACTGAATAGCGATATCTTTCCAGGGAACTCTGGATTGGTGTCTTTGGGCAGCAAAGAAGTCAGTAATTGCTCTCCAACTATGTCTCCATTAATATGAAGGCGCATGTAATGTCTAGAAACCTACTTCATAGAAGCAACCGATAGAATTAGATATATCTAAAGAAAAAGGACATCCGGACAGGAGGCATAGCACAATAAATAAACTACTAACTGATAAATAGAATCCCGAGTGACATCTTACCTCGCACCCGACATGAACCCATTTTTCAAGAGGAAACTCAGCTTTTGTAGATACACTAGGCACTTCTGTCCATGAAGCAGTATTTACAGGATCGGGAGCTTCCTTGTGTAGGAGAGTCAATGGCAGAAGCATCATATTCTTGTTTTCGTCTAAAACAAGGAACGGTGCACTAACACTCATAGCAGAGTGAACCTACAACGAAAGCAACATGGAAAAAACAAGGAAAAACAACAAACTTAATACGGTATCGAGGAGGATAAACAAGACATTTGCAGGTCAAAAATGATAAATACCAGCAACCATCAGTACAGAATTATATACTAGAGACCGGGTAAAACACGGGAAACATACAGTATCTTCAATACGATGCAGAAGACAGGTTTAGAAATACCTTATACACCCAATGATGAATCATTAAAATCATATCGTAACAAGTACCTCTACACAAACCATTGAGATGAATCCTTGCCCCCATAAAAAATGAACATGAAGAAAATACAAAAACCATATATCAATCAGTGCTTGTACAAGCCAAACATGACTGCCTGCCTTAACATAAAATCGCCATGAGCAGCATAGCATACCAGTCTTGCAAGTTCACACTCAAATTTCACAGAAGCAGATCAAATTCCCATCTTTTCCCCTCTTTTAAGCCCGCACGAAGTAATCGACAAGTGAGAAAATCATACCAAGGCTATAAAAGGGGACACAAAAGTTTAAAACTTTACCAGACAGAGCAGCCGAAATCAATCATATCATAGAATGGAAACCAACACAAGACAAAAGAAACTCTGCCGAAGTTCAGATGCATCCCGAGGAAGAAAGGAGGCACAGTTTTGGTCAAGTACGAGAATTAAGGTCGTTCTCTAGTCTTCGAAAACTCACCTGTCTGATGATTGTGGAGGGGAATGTAGTGGAATTGAAGAGATAAACCCAGAAACAAAGGGAAAAAGCCTCAAAGTCTTCATCTTGCACTTCAACATCGACATTGAAATCCTCCAAAAGAGAGTATTTGTCAGTATCGATTAAGCAATCGCCCTCCATTAATCCCAACAACAACAAAAAAAGCTGTTTGAAGAGAAACCCTTAAACCCGCGTGCTCAGAAGAAACCCTCTCTTTCTCTCGCTCGCTCGCTCGCTCGCTCGCTCTCTCTTGCGTTACCCAAACAGACCAACAAAAGCTAAAAGGAAACTGAATTCTCGGAGGCGCTCTCTCTTCCTCCTTTTTTTTTTTTCCTCCTATCTCAACGATTTTGACGGCCGTTACTTAACGGTTGGTACCGTCTTTCGGTGGTTCGGCGTTCTGAAGAGATATAATCCTCTGCTTCGCGACCAGATGACTCAAATGTGAACAGCCAATGATTGCGTTTCCTTTGGATAAAATTGAGAATTGTTTTTCCTAAAAAACCATTGTATCATCTAATCTCGTACATCTATTAAAAATTTTAAACAGTGCAAAGTATTTATCATTCATAGAGGCGCTTCAAAATTCAAGAAAACCCCCACTAAACACAAATATTGAGCCTCAAAATATTATATAAAAATAAAAATATTCTAAACATTTTTTCTTAATTTTATAAAATTAGGTAAAAAAGAAAAAAAATCATTTGTGGGTCATACTTTAAAAAAACACTTATATTCACATGTTACGATTATATTTATTTTGAGAATTATGGAAAAGTAATATAGTTCCTCATATGGGTGCACGAGTGGTTATTTCGAGTTTCGGTTCGGTTATATTCGGATTTATTTATTTCGTTTATAGAAAAATTATAACCATTCGGTTTTTATATAAACTTCGGTTCGGTTTGGTTCGGTTTTCGCAAAATATTTATTTTTAAAAAAAAATTATCGGTTTTTTAGGTTATTTTTTTATTCAGTTCATTCGGGTTTAAAGAAATTATAATCGTTCGATTTTGATATCGGAATCTGTTCGGATATGATTACATCTTATTCGCTTCGATTCGGCTCGATTATTCGGTTAATAAGCAAAATTGCCCGGCCAAGTCTCTCTTGTTCTTAGGAAAGGTAGTATTGTAGTAATGTACATTATGTTAATTCCATAATGTATATATGATCAGTTTCCCTCTCGAACAGCTTCGTGCTCGAGATCCTTTGATTTTATTCCCCTCCGTTTCCTTAGCTTCTTGGTCTCACACTCCATTTCTTCACCCGTTTCTCTACGTCTCTCATTTCTTCAATCTGGGTTTCGCTGATTGTGGTCTGAATTTTGAGGGGTAAGCTTCGAATCTCGTGAAATTGCTTTTTTTTCGACGATGGATCCGTTTCTGGATCGAAATTTTCTGGATTTTTTTTTTTACTTCTCTGATCTGGATCTGCGGTTTGAGCACTACAGTTGCTGGGTCTCAACTATTCACGTTTGATTTAGTGCGTTAGATCTGTTGATTTTGCCCGTGAATCTCGATCTTGTATCAACGTTTCCAGAATATTTTGATATTCGTAGTGGTATCCGGAATTCGTGGAGTAGACTGGTATGATCTCGTTTCGATTTTTGAAGAGTTCATCAGTGTGCGTGATACTTGCTACGTATCGAAGTTTCTTTCCCTCTCACTCTGTTCATTTCATTTCATACTCAGATTAGGAATTTCTCTCTGATTGTGACTTGCATGTGAGCTTGTGTGTATCCTGTTGTGAATTTGGATTCTACCTACTATGTATTAAGATCCATCCGACCTCGTGCTTCGTTTTCGAAAGCAGGGCATTCGTTTTCTCATGGTGTTCTACACTCCCAAGACTATTTTGATCATTGGAGCGGCTGGATTCATCGCCTCCCATGTCGCCAATAGGCTAATCCGGATTACAAAGACCGTCGTTCTGGAAAAACTCGACTCCTGTTTGAATCTCAATCCGTCGAAATCGTCTTCCAACTTCAAGTTTGTGAAGGGTGATATTTGCCAGTGCTGACTTGGTGAACTACCTGCTCATCACAGAGGGCATTGACACTATAATGCACTTCGCTGCTCAGACCCATGCCGACAGGCGACAACTCGTTCGGAAACAGTTTCCAGCTCACTAAGGACAACATTTACGGGACCCATGTCCTTCTCGAAGCTTGCAAGATGACTGATCGGATCAGGAGGTCCATCCATGTGAGCACTGATGAAGTCTATGGTCAGACCGATGAGGATGCCATTGTCGGTAACCACGAGGCTTCCCAGCTTCTCCCTACGAATCCTTACACTGCAACAAAAGCTGCAGCTTAAATGCTCGTTATGGCTTACGATAGATCATACAGCCTACCTGTAAGGAAGTTGATTCCGAAGTTCATATTGCTGGCTATGACAGCGAATCCACTTTCAATCCATGGAGATGGATCCAATGTCCGGAGCTACGTTTACTGCGAGGATGTTACTGAGGCGTTTGAGTGTATTCTCCTCCACAAGGGGGGAAGTCGGCCATGCTTACAATATCGGGACAAAGAAGGAGAGGAGGGTGATTGATGTTGCCAAAGATATTTGCGAAATCTTCAACATGGACCCCGAGGCAAGCATCAAATTTGTTGAGAACAGACCTTTCAACGACCAGAGGTACTTCCTCGATGATCAGAAGCTTAAGAACTTGGGATGGTCAGTGAGGACAACTTGGCAAAAAGGGCTGAAGAAGACAATGGAATGGTACACTCAGAACCCAGATTGGTGAGTAGATGTATCTGGAGCATTGTTTCCTCACCCAAGGATGTTGATGATGCCCGGTGGCTGACATTTTGATGGGTCTGAGGAGAATTCTGGAGCTTCCTCTGGAGTCAGACCCATATGGTGGTTCCGCAAAACCCGCCTCTGAAATTCTTGGTTTACAGAAGGACTGAATGGATCGGGGGGCTGCTCGGGAAGTTGTGTGAGAAGCAAGGAATAGCATTTGAGTATGGAAAAGGGCGGCTGGAGGATCGATTGTCCCTCTTGCAAGATATTCAGAGCGTTAAGCCAACTCATGTAATCAACATTGCTGGTGTGACCGGGAGACCAAACGTTGACTGGTGCGAGACTCCGAGCCAATGTGGATGGGACCTTGACTCTGGCTTATGTCTGCAGAGAACACGGGCTGCTGATGATGAATTTCGCCACAGGTTGTATATTCGAGTACAATGAGAATCATCCGCTCGGTTCAGGCCTTGGCTTCAAAGAGGAAGATACCCCTAACTTTATCGATTCTTACTACTCGAAAACCAAGCAATGGTAAAAAATTTCATAGCACAAAACATCTCTCTACTAGGGTGGGTCGTTTCGAGTTTCAGTTCGGTTCGATGATATTGTATTCGATTGTGGTTCGATTTTTATTGATAAAAAAAGTCGTTTTTCAACGGAATTTTCAGTTTTTGTTAATTTTTTATTCAGTTCGGTTTTATTTTTTTAATTGATAAAGATTAAAGATGCTCATTTTTTCTACGAAATTTTTATTCAGTTCAGATACGGATTTTTTCCAGAGAAACCATATCTATTCGGTTTAGAAACTCTCTTGTGTTGTATGGTTTGGTTATTCGATTATTAACAGAATTGGTCATCCCTACTGTGTATCTTAACATGGTAAGGATCATTCTGCACATTTGTTGGAGTTTGACAAAGTGTGCACACTGAGGGGTAAGAATGCCGATATCCTCTGTTCTCCAGCACCCGCGGAACTTTCATAACAAACAAAGTCATGACGGTTCTCGACGATCGACACAGCCAGGGGAAGACCTCAGGGAATTTGGAACTTCACAACGAGACGTATAGGGATTACATTGGCCCAGACTTGGAATAGGCAAAGCCGATGTCACTGAGAATTGCGGCGTTATGCATTCATCACTTTATTTCTACCATATGTTGTCATAACACTCTGTCGTTGTACAAAACAATGTTCAATCTCTGTCGTGGACTCGGATTCAAGGTGAGAAAGATCCGTTCATGAAGGTGGCCGAGTCCGCGAGATTCTGGAGGAAGGAAACAACGTCGTCGGAGGAACTGAGGAGGTAACGAGCGCTGGTTCGGGTACGGCCCACAGCGCAGGAGAAGTAATTCTCGCCCTTGAGGTCAAGAACGTTCCAGGAGATCTTCTCGGGAGAAGGACGCCTCGAGTAACCGTGTCCGTGGTTGGACGATTTCTTCTCGGAAGCCTGCAAGGGTTTATGCGACTTGTGATTGTTGTTGTTGTTGTTGGAAGCAGAGGAGGAGGAGGAAGATGGTGAGGATGATGATGACTTCGTTCCGCTTTTGATCTGCGATGACTTGTAAGGCGGACGTCTCTCTCCCGTCGGCTTCGATCCATCAGATGGCTTGGCCCGAGCGATGGCTGGGATATCAGACGGAAGTTCTGGTTCGAAGAAGGTATAAACGTCTTCGTCCTGCAGCACGTTGAGGTTTACATCAACATCTAGACTCTGAGGTGTGGCCATTTCAGTTCGGTTATATAGAACCGAACCGAATCCAATACGAAAATCTAATTGGTGTAATTTTTTTAAAACAAGAAAAACTTAACTTGAACTAAATATAAAAATTATTAAAAAAACAAAATTTTATTTTGAAAATAATTATTTTTATCAATAAAAACTAAACCAAATCCAACAAAAAAAGGAATGGGTATAATTTTTCTAAAATCCAAACAATCTGAATATTATCGAACCCAAAATAATCACCCCTACTTTTAATAGGAAGTTAAGTCTCGTGGAGCTTTACCTTTCCAAGGAAATGACCAATGCACAAGACATAATCGATCGGTGTCGTCATCGACTTGCTGTGAACTATCTCTCCAAGAATCCGATCAATCGCTGCTCCCTAGGTAATAGAAAGAAGTCATTGTAGAGGATACAATGAGGTGAAGTGGAATGGAGAAGCAGGGAAGGTAAAGATGGAATTACCTTTGTGACACCAACTGCCCGAACTTCGACAGAACGGCTTCCTTGAACGACATCAACTGAAGCGTTCGAGATCGGACCTGTCCACAGATGCTGTAACAGGTCTCTTGCTTGAATTCTTCCGAATTCAACATCTACAGGAACAGAGAAGAGACTAGTGTTTCAGGAACAGAATCATCAGAGACGTTCAGGGTTTCGTACTATACGAGAAATTACCTGCGTATTTGTAGTTCCATACGAGCGAAGTCTCGCGTACTTCAAAGTGTGACCTCGGAGTTCTTTCGGTAAAGTACTTGAAAACATGCTGCAAAAAACAGATGACCAGAAAGTTCAGGGAGGGAAGCACAGAATCTCTATGTGTAGGACGTATGGTGGGCAGCATCTAGTTCGGTTATGCATAAACCAAACCGATCTGAATCAAATAACACAAGACCATAACCAAACCAAAATCAATATAGAAACTGAACGGGTATGGTTTTTCTAAATCCAACTATAAAAATAACCAAAAAGTAAAAATTTATTTAGAAAATGAATATTTCTATCATTAGCACCCGAGACCAAAATCGAACAAAACCGAATCTAATATAAAAACATTTTCTAAAACAGGACAAACCGAATCCGAATATAACGGAATCGAACCCGAACTGAAATTCGAAATGTCCGCACTAGTTAGTAAACAGGAATGGTGGAACTGTGAAACTACCTTCACGCTATCGACCCATTCCATGTTCAAGTGTTCGGGCATTGTTGTCATCCACTCTCCGTTTGTAAGCCTCAAAAACATCCCGTTTTCCGCTGCCAACCACATATCGTACTCACAGAAGTTCTGAATCAAGCATGAAGTCAGTGGCGGTGTGTATGATATGATGACAAGAGAAGGGAAGGGGGGAAAGGGAAAGGTATTTACCTTGTCCAACACAGTTCTTCCGCTACCACTCAGTACAACTATCGTTGTTCTCGGATCGCTGCATAGTGCTTTTAATGCCCCTTTAACCTCCGGATGCAATTTAAGATCCAATTCCTTGATTTGGTCACCTCTTCTCCCTTGATTATCCGCAGGTTCAGTCAGTGTTGCGTTGAAACCCTGAACGTTTTGACGGTCACAGATCAAATTAAACCAAAGTAATGGTGCTTTTAGTGAGCACCGATTTGACACGATGACGATGTATCTTCAGCATAGACGAGGTTCTCTACATTAAAAGCTTACTATAGAAATGAAACCATGTTTTACAATTACAGCTATGATGAGAATCACATATAAGACACCTAAAAAAATGATTTAGGAGATGAATAAATCAAACAAACTAGAAATTAACAGAATCATCAAATCAGATCCACAATTCCTGAGGACTCATTTTAATTTTAAAGTGGAACTTACCAGGATCAGCAACCTATTGTTAGACTGGGAGTACTTTCGAATTGCATCCTGTTGTGGAAGCTCGGGTGGGACTTTGCTAATTCGTAGCTGGGCCTCTATAACAGTGTCATTCAATTCACTGCGAATTTTCAATTATTTTGATTCAAATACTTAATAATGGTGCTTTTGTCTAAAGCAAGGAGTACACACACTTCAGACAAGTTCTTGAAGAGAAGGTTTCTATATGCAATTGATTAACCATACCTCACAAAAGTTTCTGCCCATTCTTGAGCAGTATGAGTTTTTACATGATGAAAGTTGTGTTGATGTCTCAATTCCCTCTCTTCTTGTGACATGTTTAGGGCCTGTCCGATGGAAGCTGCAACTTCTGTTATGTTCCAAGGATTCACAAGAATGGCCCCGGCACCAAGAGACTGCGCAGCACCTGCGAACTGTGGAACACATACAACTTGTTAAGTTTTGACTAAACAAACATAATGTGTTCTTTTTTTTCTGAAGATCGCAGAATGTAAGAAAATATATAACATAAAAACTATGTCGACTAAGATATCTTTGGTCCCAGTAAGTGATATATCGATATAAAATTAATGCATAATTTGGCTTAGAAGTACGAGGTATTACTTCACTGAGAATGAGAACTCCCTTTTTCGCCTCTTGGCAAGCAACAAATTCATAGCTCACAAGGTTCATCCCATCTCTCAGAGATGTTACGAGTGCTACATCTGAAGAAAAGGCACGAAGAAAACTTATTACATTGCAGATGCAATGTCTTTGATCAAGCTTACCAGTACTAGCTCACAAGGATAACACTTCATCAAACTGTATTCAGAAAGAAAGTATATTTGACTATAACTTGGTGGTCAGACAATTACCAGTGACAGCATAAACTGCACATAAGGCGTGAAAGTCCAGAGAACGATCCTGGTAGAAGAGGAAATTCGTATCAGAAAATCATTACAACAATACCGCCTTAATCCCAAGTTTATTTGGGGTCTGCTTACCAGAAAATCAATATCCTAGAAATTTAACTGACAACTACAACAAGGGATTTGTAATCAAAACTGCTCCAACACCAACATGAAGACCTTACTTTGCAATTCTAAGCTATAAGATCCGGATAATGTCGCCATATATGCCAGCGTGATACTAGGAATCTTTTGTTTACCAATAAACATATTAGCTAAAATCATTTCCAAATCCATAATCCTAAAATACGATGATACTCAGAAGCTCTTGTGTTAATGCTTCAAATCTGACAACGTTGTGTCCCTTGCCATGAAAGATATTAAAGCTGACCAGAAGCCATAATGATATCCAACTAACTGAACAAGTAGGAAGAAATGAAACAGACCAGGTGATGTATTGGCACAGCAGTCAGTGTCCCAAAACGACCATTAATGCGTCCGACAATCTCATGAACTTGACTTGTGAGTTTTTGATCTGCAAAATCACAAAATTATAAGGAGCACAAGGATGCAAACAATCACATATATCAAAAAGGAAATTCATGTATCGTTTAAGAGTGTTTAAGTTACTGTACATCAACGACACAAAGCATCCTAGGTAGCCTGATGGACTACTATACGTAACTGAATGTTTTGTCACATGATTTTCATGCTATCCTGTATTCAAACCAGTTCATAAGAAATTAATGGATTTCAGTGCAACTACTCAGTTTTTACATTTGTAGATTTTCTAATGCTTCAACAGTGAAGCAGAAACAGAAACCATTTCAAAGATGTCAAATCTAAGCAAAGAAACTATAAACCAGAAAACAGAAGGAAGTCAAAGTCAGACAGAAGGCATACATTCAGGGACATCTGTCCTCGTTGGCACCGCTATTTGCAGTAAGACCACTTTATCACGCCAGGTTGGGTTTTCCTCAAGAAATTTTTCAAATGCTAGAATCTTTTGTGGGATCCCTTTGATCATATCAAGGCGATCAACACCTAACATCACCTGCAAACAGAGTTATTTCATCAAGTGAAGAGGAGGGAAGAATCACTGAATGTAAATCCTCCATTTAGCAACCTCAGAAGAGCTCTTGAATAGCTTCAAGTGCAGTTAGGTTTAAAATGATAACCGTCTATTTGGAGGTTGTTCTCTTCTTCAATTGGTACCTGAGGCTTTAAATATGAAAAGATTATAAAGCAGCGGTACCTTTCTGCCAGCAAATCTTTCCCTCAATTCTCTCATGTGTTGTTGGACCTCAGGGACTTCAAGTGCTCGTATAAACCGCTCAGAATCTATTCCGATGGGAAACTGGGATACGAAACAAAACCAAGTGCTGTTACAAGGTTGTCAGCAAAGACGTTGAAAGTGGCAGTGTGTACCGATAAGTGATAGACTTATAGTTGACGATGTGAAGGATCAAGGAATGCAATAAACAATTATAAATTTGGCCATACAGCAGCAACTCGAGTCATCCTGCCTTGATCCTCAACTCCCTCAGGTGTTCCTTCGAGTCCAAGAATACGAGTGCATGCACTCACAAAATGCCTTGCATAATCATATGTATGGAAACTGGAAAGTACACAAAGTATATGAGGTTAACACAATTCTATAGATGCAGCATATGACTATCTCAATACCTACCTATTGAACAAGAGAGATTCATCGGCTAAAGGATAATCCAATCAGCAAATGAGTCAATGGTTAATCCATATAGTATTCTGTCACAGATAAATTTGCACACCACCTATTGTTCCCTGAAACTTTATCGACAATCGGATGCCATTGCTAAACAGAAATGCCCTGCTATACCTGCTGCCTAGCTATATCATAAAGAATGACAAAAGTATTGAGAACAGAACACCATCTAGCTAGCTATATCAAAAAACCCGTAGAGAGGATTAGACATGCTAGAATGTACTTCCTGCTATAGGTAGCTTAACTGATCAAAGTCCTAGCTAATTATCCTTAATTACGCTATTTGTACCAAGCTATTTACTTTTATATGTTTACGATATAATATCAGAATTTAAAATATGTTAAAGCATGTTGTTATCATGACACAGTAGTAGCAATAGGTAGAAGCAAGTAGAGACTTTACCCAACCAAATCAGCAGCAAGAACTGAACGAAGCAGCTCTGATCGTGATGGCAATGTTCTGTGGATCTCGGACGAAGGGAATGGTGTATGGAGAAACCATCCAACTTTCATTTTACTGTTGTATTCCTTGAGGCATTTAGGAAGAAACATCAGATGATAATCGTGGCACCAGACAACATCTCCTTCTTCGTAGTGCTTATTAACAACATCAGCAAACATTTGATTTGCCTTCTTGTATGCAGCAAATTGGGACTGGAAACTTCGGGTTGTAGCAAGCCGATCTTCTTGCGGAAGTCCAAGGTAGTGAAAAAGTGGCCACAGAATGTTGTTGCAATAGCCATTATAATACTGATGCACAATCTCTTCATCAAGGAATACGGGGATACACCTCTGCAAATAGAAGAAGAAAGATAAGAAAGCAGTTTAAGCTATTCATGGTCCAGTGAGGAAAAGAAAAGGTTGAGTAAGAGAATAAGACCATTCACAATCTAGTTCCACACAACAGTGAAAAGGTTTCATTTCTAGCAACGTCTCAAGAAGACACTCCCGCTTACCTTCTCAGCAAGAGCTTTGGTCAGTGCCTTCTGTCCAACCTCATCCGGCACATTGACTCCAGCCCATCCTATCCATCTAGCTTCGAATTCCTTCACACCTTCAAAAGGTCACCCTATATACATCAACCTCTCTACTAATATAACACTCAAATCCTCATGTAAAGAATTCTAAAACAGTTTTTCACATTCATTCTCTACAATATAACTACTATATGAGAAAATAATCACTTACCCAGGAGAGCACTAACTAGACCACCAGCACTTATCTCGAGAGACCAGGAATCTTCACCTCTTCTAACAGCAGAAACAGGGAGCCTGTTAGCCACGACAAGCAGCCGTTGCTTGCTATAAGGCCTCACATCTTGCCGTTCACATGAATCAACATGAGCCCTGGCAGCAGCAGCAGCCCCTTCCAAGTATTGCTCAACATATGAATGCCTAGAACTGTCCCCTTCTAAACGTAGGTCATTCTCCAAGAGCTCTGGATTTCCATTCACTTCGTGGGAGTTAAGAGCCCTATTGCTCTTCCTCAGCTCTCTTAGCTCTCTTTCTCTCAAGAGTCGCTCCGTTCGAGATGACGGTATATGGGATGAACTGCAGTTGTACTTGTTTCCAGGCATACGCTCACCCTAATACCGAAAACCTTGGTACAAATTATGGGCTCCGTGAAACCACCGTCACCTACATTCGTTGTAAAGCAAATCAGCACCACATAAAAACTACGATCATGTAGCCATATGTTAAAATAATAGTAACATCTGGAAGGTCATTGTCTATGACAATACACTAATTTCATATCTGCTGCAAAGTAAAAGAAGCAATCTCAATAAGCATCTAACAGTATACGCGTTAATTAAGAAAATTCTTATAAAAACAGATTGGCAACACCGAAGGCCAAAACAAACAGAACAGGATCCACATGATTTTGGGGTTGTTGGTATGTCAGGAACCCCAAAAGGCACAGAGGTATGCAAACTAAGATGACAAGGTTGATCACAATCGATATCCTTGGATATTCAAGGGGAAAATACTTGGGGAATCAGTGAAGACTCACATTGAACTCAGAGAAACATTATATACGCGCAAAAAAACATGAAAGAAGAAAGGGCACCTGAATCCCTCCTTCTCAGTCACTCAGAAAAAGTCAGTAATTCCTAACGCAAGCAAGATCCTGGGAATTCACAAAGGCTGGGCTTTTTCCTATAGTTCAAACTACGGCTTTTCTTGAGGTGGGTTTCATGTCTTTATCTGCAAGAGAGGACCAGCATATTTACATATATATATATAACCAAAAACGAAAGGAGAAAATATATGTGTATATATATATATGAGGAAGAAGACACCGAGAAGGAGAGGAAAAAATACGGTGGGAGAGAAATTATCAGGGGGCAGAGAGAGACAACAAAATGGCGAGGGAGCAACAAAATCCTCGTGTAAGCTTTATAGGGTACACAGAGCCTCACAGCCATGCAAGTGATACACCAAAAGATTCTGTTTTCGAGAACAGAGAGACCGAGAAATCTTTTATATCAACAGTACAAACCAATTATACTCTAAAATCTCGAAATTCGACAAAAAACTATCAAAGGATTGGATATATCACCGTCGATGAAACATTAGACGGTGCTTACGAGAATAACCCAGGGGAGACGACGCCGGAGATGTCCCCCGGTATTTATGAAAAAAAAATCAAGTAACTGCAGAACTTAAATAAATAAACATATATCTAAAAAAAAAAGGAGAAATGTTTTATAATTAGTTTGACAGTGATTATTACTAGTATGTGATGACGCAATCATTGAAGGGTTCTCTCTACTACTTATAGACCAACTTGCCCCGTGGGTCCCGGGGCTATCCGGATCCTGGAGCCGCTCCTTTGCCTGACCAATCTTTTTAACCCCAATTTTTTCCCGTTCTTTTTCCTTCGGCCAATGTACACGAAAATAAATATCCTCCACTAAGAGAGACAACTGAGATGGACCCGTTTCTCTACCCGGAGGCACATTTTCCATGAGATTAAATTTTTCTGGTCGGATTTCATCTTGGGAAATATCACCAAGATGATGAAACGTACACACTGTTCGTCAGAATTAATTTCTGGAAACATCATCTTTTAGCATACCGAGTTTTTTTTTATTTAATTTGGCATTGAAATATGTACCACGATCTGCAAATTTTCCCGACCCTTACTGCTATGGGAATAAATGAATCTAGCACAAAACAAAGAAACATCACTCTTAAGTTACCCTATAAAATTCTCAAAAACTATTTTGTATTTGATTTGATTTAAAGGGCTTTTTCATCCAGAAGTAGAAATTCAAGCTTATACCGTGACAAGAAACAATTAAACCGTGCAATGGCCAAGTTCACGAAAGACATTTGGACAACATATGATTGGTCTGGACGAAACATGACTGGGTCTACACCAAACCAAGTTACATGCGAAAGAACATCCTTGTCGGGAGGTAACATCAAAATCAAATTGACTATAAACAATAATCCAGATTCGTTTTTACTAAGATCTGTAGATTTATCAGAAATTTGTTAATATTTTTACCTTAACGGCGCCTGGTTCTGGAGTTCCATAGAATTTCAAATAGAGATGTTGATACTGGAGGGAATATTTTCTGCTAAGATCCCGATTGAAGTTAAGAAATAGGAAATAAAACACTAGCATAGATACTAAACATATTCCAAATGTGATAAATTACCACCGGCTTTAAAATGCCAATCAAGAAGCAACTATATTGTCGTTAATTCGAAGAAAAAGAACAAAATGTTTGTCAAAAAGTGTTTGTAATATGTGAAAAATGGGTAGATGGACGTTTGAATTTCTACAACATTCTAGTGACAAAGACTGCAATGGCCTAGACTTTGAAGAACCCCTTGGAGTATCAAGCTTCTAACACTGCATGAATCGCGATAGGTTATGTAAGAAATGGCTTCAAAATCAAAGCCAACTATCACACAAGCTAGATAACCAAGCTCAAACTTGGATAGTTTAGCCGGTGAAATGGGATACAAAGTGTTTGTTTCGTCCCGAATTCGAATCTCAAGTTTGAGAAGATACATATATTCCAAATCATAGTTGACTCATGGTTCTAAAATTAGTTTGAACCTTGATCCAAAATTCTCGGATACTCGGATACCAAAACAAAGTTAGAGAAACAATGTGTGTCGAGGTGGGGTCGAAAATGTTTCATAGAAACTTAAGTCTCAGATCTTTCTGGATATGCGTCTTGTAAGTCATGACTTGTAAGAAAACTCGTGCGAAAAGCTTACACCTTACCAAGGTAGCTCTAATGGTGGGAAGATGCAAAACATTTTGCACTACCTCGGGTGCGGGTAGGTCCTTTTAAATAGGAAAAAGGTGATTTACAACTATAAAAATATTATGAAAGATTGATTCCGGATCAAGAAAAATGTAATGGGCCAAAGTTGTGGGACTCTTGATATCGAAAAAATAAGAATTGCTATTTTTGTGGACAGAATGCGCTCTACCAATAACAAGTCGGCAACAAAAGGCAACGAAAGCGAAAGAATGGTTTGGTGGTCCACCTATTTTTAAACCGCAAATCCAAACGTCACATATAGCTCCTGAAAGAGAGATACGATATTTTTAAAGAAAAGATTTTGTTTTGACTCTTGTAGGGAAGAAGTCTCTCTAGTCTTCGTCAAATAGACAAAGGAAATAAATAAAATATCTACCTCGTTCTCTCTCTCTCTCTCTCACGCTCTCTCTCCCCATCAGAGGAGAACCATAAGACATGTGAGCAAAATAAAAGAATTGGACAAAGAAAAACACGAGAAACAAGTGACAGAGCATCAAAAGATAAATAGAATGCTTGTGATTGCAGATCTCGTGAAGACTGCCCAACCCAAAATTATAGCTCAGAGAGAATACTCAGTGACTCATCCAAGTAGGTACGGCCTCCACCATCCTGTGGATCCCGCCTGGATACGTGAATCAAGAACTCTAGATTGACCATTTCTCTGAAATATTTGCACGCAGACCTCTAAACTAACCCCTTTTTTTTTTTTGGGCAAATTCCAAACTGTCTCTGATGTTTACACCCAAATCTTACATGGGGTCCATTTGTTTTGGAATCTTTTCTCTTTCTCAAAAGAGATTTAGATTTACTTTTGTGATGGCTAAAAATCCACGACCATTATCTTTGGAGTGTTCACGATAAAAAAATCTTATTTCTGCAAAGACGCGGCCTCTAGCTAGATTATACGTGACATGTAAATCCACAGTTTGGAAATTCATTTATAGGCTTGTGTTAGAATGGGATTGGGTCCATAGTAATTGAGATGAATGAACATCGTCAGCCTTTAGGTCTGAAGATTATCTATTTAAAGGTACTTTTTGTTTCTCACAAATGTGTGGTAGAAAACTTCTGGAATTATCAGAATAAAGATTGTAACCGGAATCTGATAAGGATATGCACAAGGTGAAGTAGCTTTCCTACTTATATGTTCAAAGAAAGGCTTTTATGTCGATTTTTGAAAATCCATTTCTCCACCGATTATCGGCAAGCATAAGTTAAGATCTCAATCATGTTTTGCATTTGTAAATCATTAATCTCTAAACCAATTACCTAAGAGATTTCAAATTTTAATTCAGTTTTATAGAAGATGCAACTTCGCAACCGGTGATTAAATTGTTGACCAAAAATCAATCATCTATTTAGAATTAATCTATCATCTCTTCACAGTTCATTCCTAATTCGAATCTATTCCCACCCTATCTCTACGAACTCGGAGCCAGAGAAAAGAACTCAATCCACTTCGGCTAAAAACTCACTTCAAAAACCTAATTTCAAACAAAACATCAAGTAGAATAAGTTACAGATTCGAAAGGCAGAGCAGATCCCCCCCCCCCCCAGGATTTCAGTGATCGCCTCTAGACACCGGATCCAATCACTTCAATACGATTGAACAAAAAAGACAAACAACAACAATCGAAGAAACAAATACGAATGGAATAGCTCAACCAAATCGATCACGAATCTCGCAAACGGAATACGATAACGAGTCAGAGTTAGAAGCTAACCTGAGCCGCTCGAGAGATCCCGGAGAAATCCACAGGTCGATGAGAACAAGCGAGTGAGGAACTGATCGTTGGACAGAGAGAGAGGAACGAATTCTGGAGATTTTATAGAAGCAGGGTAGAGGAGAGGAGAGAGAGTGAAAGCCTAAGAATCGTCTTTTCGCGCGGAGAGAGGGATATAGAGAGAGAGAGAGAGAGAGAGAGACCTTCTTTGGTTTTGGCCCAATCATTTGGAGGGAATTTGTTCCCCTTTCTTTCCTTTTGAATTCCTTTTTTTTTTTTCCTTTAAAATTTCTTTTCCCAAGCAAAAACAAAATGGCTCCCATAAAGGCAATGATATATCGAATCTATATTTTAATTATAAATATACCATTTTTTATCTTTTTGTTACAAAAAATTCGTAATAATAAACTATAAAATCTGTTGACAAAGAGAAATATTATTAAGGTATTCTGAATATTAATTTTATTTCTGTCTCACATAATGATATACTAATCATCCAACATATTCTCTTCTGTATAATGCCTTTTTATTTATTTAAAAAAGCAATGAGATTCTACTTATACACAAACTTTTTGTTACACAATTTTAATGGTGGCACTGGCTACCAAGCCTACCATATCAATTTGGTAACATTTTTTTAAAAAAAATGGATTTTTAATAAAACTTATCGTAAAATTTATCTGAAACCTATTAAAAGAAATAAATACCTCATATACATTTAAAATTGTGGAAACTTTATCCAAATAATAAAAAAAAACTGGCTATGCGCCCATACTAATCTACCATAGATAAGGAAAAGTAATATCTAATTTGGTTATATCTTTAACATTAACAACTAATAATAATAATAATTAGAATAACATTAAGGTATTAATCAAAATAATATATAATTATATTTAAATCAAACTCAGTCAAAATTGATTAAATATGTTACGTTTAAATTAGATTAATTGAATTGAACTTAACTTGAATATAAAAAACATAAATAAATGAAAATAATTAATTAATTAATAAAAACTGAATATATGAGAAATACGACTGTAATACGATCCAAACAAATTGAAATAATAACCAAATTGATATAGTTTTAAAGGGAAAAAAAAAGGTAGAATCAATAAAACAAAAATTTGAAAATGGTAATTCTAGTAATAAAAAATATAACGGAACATTAATATAATAAGGAAACGCGAAAAGAACCTTTATGGTTTATGCCCTCTGTGTGTGTAACTTTTTGGTCTTGGGTATCATGTGACCCGTCACATTTTTACTTGTTTAATTGCTTAATATTTGTTATCATTATTATAGTCAATAACTTCCTCCTCCTCGTTACTGTTAATTATTATTATTATTAGTATTATTATCGTTATTATTATTATTATAAGCACAAGCACATTTTAATTTAATGCACGCACTGACAAA